CTTCTGGATGCTTGGAAACACCATTTCTAGCATGCAGGACCGGATGTTCTCGATCTTCTTGGTCATTCTCCTTCCGCCTATCGTCCTGAACAGCTTGGTTCCCAAGTTCTACATCAATCGGGCACTATGGGAAGCTCGCGAGTACCCCAGTCGTATCTACGGATGGATCGCATTCTGCACGGCCAACATCGTCTGCGAAATCCCGATGGCTATCATCTCCGGACTGATCTACTGGCTGCTGTGGTACTACCCGGCCGGTTTCCCTACGGACTCGAGTAATGCCGGATACGTCTTCCTCATGTCCGTGCTTTTCTTCCTGTTCCAAGCCAGCTGGGGTCAATGGATCTGTGCCTTCGCTCCGTCCTTCACCGTCATTTCCAACGTAAGTTATTCCGTTTTCAGAATTAACCAAAGCAAACAACTAACACAAACACCAGACCCTTCCCTTCTTCTTCGTCATGACCGGCCTTTTCAACGGTGTTGTCCGTCCTTACTCCGCGTACCCCGTGTTCTGGAAATACTGGATGTACTACGTCAACCCGGTCACCTGGTGGCTCCGCGGTGTCATCTCGAGCGTCTTCCCCACCGTTGACATCGAATGCGCCTCCTCGGAAACCACCCACTTCAACCCTCCCCCCGGCCAAACCTGCTCTCAGTACGCCGACGACTGGGTCTCGAGTGCCGGCGTCGGCTACCTCTCCAACCCCAACGCCACTTCGGATTGCCAGTACTGCCCCTACGCCAACGGCTCCCAGTACATGCACACCCTCAATGTGCACGATGGCGACAAGTGGCGCTGCTTCGGTATCTTCCTCGCCTATGTGATCATTAACTGGTTCTTGGTCTACTTTATGATCTACTGCGTGCGCGTCCGTGGCTGGTCTTTTGGACTTGGCTACGTCTTCGCTGCGCTGGGAATGCTCTTCGGTAGCATCAAGAAGCTGTTTGTGAGATCGCCCAAGGCGTAGAGCTCAGGCTTTGCCACTGTTTATTACAGCCACAGCATTCGTCTGTTTGATGGATGCTGGTAGGTGGGACTTTCCTCCTGTGATATATTTTGGGAGGAAGAAAAACAAAACAAAATACGAAATCATCATCAAAAAGATACATACAGGCCTATGTGGCCTGAAATACGAGATGAAGCAGCAGGAGGAGGATAGAGAAAAGCATATTGGTTCGGATTTACTTTTTTTTTTTCCTTCTTGGTTTATATTATCATGCAAGATAGATAGAGATGCATCAGCGTGTGTGTTTGTCGGGTGGCTTGGCTTTTTGCTCAGCCTTTTCTTCATGTTGTTTCTTTTTTTTGGGTTATATTTTGATCCATAATAGGTACATAATGCATATCATTCTATAGATATACTCTATATTTATTGTGGCTAGGAGTAGTAATAGTGGAGATTTTGTATCATCAGATTGGTTAGATATTTCTTAGTCTCAACTGAGATAAATGTCCTGCACATACATCTACCCATATATGTCATAAACTCCTTATCCCTAAGCCCTATCAAGAAAAACATCCAGACCACACACCTTCCTCTTAACTGAAACTGGGGCCCAACATCAACTCTGACTCTCCGCAAAAAACCACGGCTTCCTCCCCCCACTATACCTCGCCCCCGGCACCCGCATCGGAACCGGAACAGTATCCCCGAATACAGCGGGGAGGTTTGTCCCGTCGTCATCATTATTGGTTGACGATGAAGATGATGAAGATGATTCAGAGGCTTTGCCTTTGCCTTTATCTTTATCTTCGGATATCTTATCCTTGACTTCTGGTGTATCCGTCTTGTCTTCGATAACAGGGACTATTACGCCGCATTCCCAGTTTCGGCAGTTCAGCTTGGGGGATTTGGTTGAGCGGTCTTGGACGAGGCGGCCCCTGTGGGTGGGAGACAGGTGGGGTTGGTTAGTGAGTGTTGGGTTGGGTGAAATTAAAAGGTTGGGGATGGATGTGATATTTATGAGGAAATACGTACCAGGCACTTTCGGATAGATTGGCACTTCCGACGTAAGCCCATGCGCGGCATTGGGTTGTTTCTGATAGAGGGATGGGTTCGTCGGGGCGGATGTAGAGGATCTATTGTTGAGTGGGGATGGGATGTTAGAGATATCGTGTTTGTGGGGGAAGAGGAAAGGGGGTAGGGTGGTATACGCACCTTGTTATGCATTAACAAGCCTTTTCTTTGACTCTCACAGTCTCGGAGTATATGGCGTGGAAAGTTTTCGCCGTTGTACCATCTTGACTGGAAGCAGATGGTGCCTGCGCAGCGGGGACCGCCTTTTGATGTTGCGATGGTATTCTGGGAGGGAAAGTAGAGACGGAATCGGTCTTTCCATTCAGTGCCTGTGTCTTTCTTGAGGAGTTTGGAGGGATCGTCGCGTCGGGGAACAGGAAATGATTTGGCGTAGCGGATTGTGAATTCGGTAAGACCGTCGTCGCCTTTGAGTTTAAGGGATTTTAGCGTTAGTTGTCGGGTCTATGGGTAGGGGCAGGGGGTTTGGGAGTGTGTCTACCTTGTGAAGCGAGGTACAAGGAGCGGAGAAATTGGTCGGTTATAGCGCCGACAGAGGAAGCCTTGACTTGTGAGTATGTGGTAGATGGTTGTGGGTAGAGGGTAGATGCTTACGATGAAGTCGATGTTGAGTGGTACGGATGTACGAAGATTCAGTCTTGCCACTGCTCGACCTAGGCCGCAGTAGCCTGTTCGTCTCCATGCAGTATCTGTGTGAGAGCCACCGCTGGGACTGTTAGATATATTCAATGCGTCTAGTAGCAAAAGGGGACATACATGGTGTGAACGAAGGCATATTTCGATGTTTTGCTAAAGTCAAAGCTGTCAAGCTTAGCGATGATGTTCTCATGAAGAGTACTGGCTTTGAGGAAATGAACCAGATCTTCGTAGAAATGGGTTGTTGGCTTCTCGGCGCCATCCTTTTTCGGTAAGTCAATGAGAAAGACGCTCTGGAGGTGTGTCAGCAGGGGTCCAAGGGATAGACGCTCTTGTGCTTATTACGTTCTCCATGACTCCGTTCATCTCACCCCAGTCAAATGGGGTTAGATTAGCTGTCGGTACCACGAGGCGAAGATATCCAGGGTGAAAGAGCAGCATCAACTTTGAGTGCATGCAAACGACCTGCCCACCCATTGGTGGGAAGCATAACCGCAAGTTCCGCATGGTAGCCGTCTCTGATTCGTACTGACGTTTCTTCTCTGGTGATTAGCTTATTCTAGACAAGGCTAAATTCCAGGGTGCGAAGGACAATGGAGAATGCTCACTGTAGCCTCATCCTCCGCCTGCATGATCATAATGAAACGAGTACTCTCAACATTAAATTTACTGAACAGCCAATCCATCTCCCACATGAATGAGCTCAAGACAGCAAGCTCCAGATCAGACTTCTGCAAGACCTCCTCAATCTTGATATCGTCCCCTTGCCGGGGGCATCCAAAGGCCCATGTCTTTTTGACAATACCCTCTGGATATTGAACCGATGGTGAAGTAGATGGGATCGACCTAGAGCTTGTAGGCTGTGATGCAGACATAATCGTACCTTTAGTGGCCACAGAGGGTTGGACAGTGGGCTTTGGAGCTAAGTCGATCTTCGAGTGCTTAGTCTCACGGAGATCAATGGAGCTAGTATCCTCGGCCTTTCTCTTAGCAAGTCGTGCGAGACGCTCTTGCTCCATCTGCTTGCGATCGAGACCGAAGATACCCATGGACTTAGCAGGTTCTTGGCCGATTGTCTTCTCTTCGACCTCTTTTACTGAGGGAGAATCAGTGCCTTGGGGCTCCCCTTTCTCAGAGTCGCTAATTTGTAGATAACTAGAGGCGTTTTGCGATCCTCCTTGAGCGTCTTGCAACGAGAGCGCGATAGCTCTCTTTAGGTCTTCATCATATTGATCATCATCACCCGCCTCATCATCCGTGTCAGATCCTATTACGGACCGCGACTTCGGAAAGATGGGTACAACGTCATCTGAGTCGGACTCCGCTGTGAGATCAACAACCTGTCTCTCGGAGCTGCGACGCTGATCGGGTTCAGAGTCTAGATCAAATGTCTCAAACTGGCGTTCCCCTTCATGTGGAGCCATATTGAATGATTTATTAATACCAGAAGATAGGATGAGTGAGATGATAGATCCAATAAAAAGGATAGAATGATAGTGAGGGTAAAGAGGGGATGAGTCGGTAACAACTAGCGGAATAAATAAAGGCCTGACGGTAGTTTGTACCGGAGGTTGTCTGTTTATCAGGCCGACGCTAGAGATGCTTCAGCGCAGCAAAACAAGCGCAGCACTGTGTTCATCAAACAAATGACTTGAGAACTAAGCAAGAAGTCTTACGGTTAGAAAATAAGAAGGTTGAATGAATTTGGAGGAGGTTGTTATGAGAGAGGAAGTGCAGGTTCACTTCACACCCTGGGATCCTGGCAGCTGGCACGTGACCGAGACGGGCTGAGCTGGAGAGCACCAGTTGAACCCCCAATGCACCAACAGGGCAGAAGGATGCAGGATACTAAATAATTATATTGAGAGGGAATGGGGATATATTTAGAGCTGTAAATTTACTGGGTCTACAACTCAGAGCATTGACTATGTGGCTACGCTGTAAGCATTCACTACCGGCAACTTATGTTTGATTGCGTTTGGCTAATAAGACACACATGCAAACAGTTGGCCATGCACAGCTGCTCCAGACCACGGTGTTCCCGATTATCACAGGTGGCCCCTTCTGCCAATATTTGCACCTAGCTTTGACCTCAGATTTGCTGCTTGATCTAGAGTCAAACAACATCTCCAAACATCCCGCGCATCGTCGTTCACCTGATGACATGGCGGGAGTGGTTCCGTCAGGAGCTCTTAAGAGCCAAGGCTTGTATCAGAGTCTGGTGCAAGAGCACAACCGCCATGACCCCAGCAATCGTGGGTAAGTCGTGCTCGTCTTGTTTTCGATCTCGGACTTGTTCGCAGCTAACATCGGACGCCGACAAGACCAGTAGTTCGTTTTGTCAAGCCCTTGTACGACAAAGAATCGGGGGCTGTTAGTGATTTCGAAGAACATGACAAGCAGCCAAAGTACCGTGAGGTAGCCGATGAACAGATCATTAAGATGCTTAAAGTAGCCCAGTTTGATACACAGCCAATGTCGAAGTGTCTCCTGTACCGTCTCCCCCTGGAAGTCAGACTAAGAATATGGGAATGCCTGTTCCCGCACAACTGGAGTGCCGTGGAGCTGGAGGAATTCGCACAGACGACAACGGGCCTCGCTATCCTCCTGACCTCTCATCAGATCTTCCATGAAGCCTTGCTGGTCTTCTTCTATTCGCTTGCATACAGCAGGCTTGTCCTCAAGGAGTACGGAGGCTCTACTGCGCATTACCTCAAAAGTGTCCCCTTGAAGTTGGATCGGTGCATTTATAAGCGTAGAGGATTCATCTGTCTCGATATAGAATGCGACGAAGAAAGAACGTTTGGATCGCTTGTGCTTTCACTTGGTGACAAGATCCATGAGACGGCAGTTCGACGTCGCTGGGGTTTCGCGCTCTTCATTACCACTTTGAGAATGGAGGGGCCCTTGCGTGTCCATGATCTGACCGTCGCTGTCACTGAGAATTGGAAAATCCCCGGATTTGACGAGAACGATTTGGTCCAGGCTCTGTTCAGTGGGGCCTTCACGGTCCTTGGAAGACTGAAATTCGTGGGCTTCACTAGAATGGAGCGAAGACGTCTCACCAACCTAATACTCGCGAGGCAGGACCCGTGCGTGCAGCTCATGCGGCGTAGGGATAATGCTGAGGATATAGTTCGGTAAGTGGTAGTTCCTGGCATAGAGTTGGTCATGTCATTGGGCCACCTTATTGGCTCGTTAGATGCATTGCAACACGAGGTCAATGACGGCAAAGAAAACATCTCGATCCGCGTCGGCAGTTTCAAGCCCAAGCCCCAAAACGAGCATACGTTTCTCATTGGGCGTCTTGGTGACAATGGCACTGGCGATTTGACGAGCATAAAGCTGACCAACTACTTCATGTCCAGGAGCCCGGCCACCGAGGAGTGACGTGGCAGTCAGATTGCCAATAGGAAGAAGACTGTCCTCAGCAGGCTCAGAGATGGTGTGAAAGCCCTCTGTTCCTGGATTTTTGTTCTCAAGTGGCACGTGCAGCTGAAGTAGGTTAGTTGAAATGAGAAGAGCATGGCATGATTATTGACTAACCCAATGTCCTAGTCGGCCTTTCTGTGAAATGGTGATTAAAATCCTATCACTGAATTTGATCAAAGTGACATTTGTCTGGATGCCCTTGACATCTCCAACAACCTGCTTCGTGACTGCGGGGTAGGGCAGGTTTAAATTCTGAAGTTGGTTGATGTCAAAAGGTTCACTATCCATGGTTGTTTTTTTATGTGATTTAAGTTAAGAGATACCCTGACAGGCAATGAGATGCACAAGTTCTCTTCTTAGGATGATGAAAAAAAAAGATAAGAATAAAACAATAACACTGTGATAAACAAGGAAACGCGACGAAGCAGAAGAAGAGGAGAGAGAAGAGTGAAGAGGGGTGACTGGCCGTGAAGTACATCCTAGGCGGTGAGGCTATACTCACCGCTTTGCAGGCAGAATGTGGCCGCCGCCTGATTTTTTTCACGGCACTCTCTTATCGCTCTTCACTTTTACTTTCAGTCTGGGACCTGGTTAACTTTGTCTTGCAATTAAGACAAAGGGTCAAGTCTAGTGATCATGCCCAAGTTTGTCCCCCGCCAGCGAAAGCAAAAGCACAAGCAGAGGGAGGCAACAACCGCTCCGGTAGACACCAATGTTGCCGAACTTGCGCCCGTCTCCAAGGATGAGAAGGAAGCTAAACGGCAGAAGCTAAAGGAAGAATTGCGAGCACAGCACGCTCAGGTTTCTTCCAAGAAGCAGAAGCGCTTGGACAAGTATATCGTGCGTGCGCCTCTATATTGGCCATCCCCTATCGTTATATCTAACACTTTATACAGGAAAACAAGCTGAAGAAAGAAGAGAATCTCGAGCTGCTTAAAAAGCTCGCGCAATCCAAGGTTGATACCTCGGCCCTCCAGAGCTCCAAGGAACTAGGAAAGCGCAAGCGACAAGATGAAGTACCGGCCGTATCTAGAAGCGCGGATCACGACTTGCGCCATGATCAGGACCTAGACTTTTCGGACGACGATTCGGACGATTCGTTGCCCCAATCGAAGACCACTGTTAACGAATCTAAATCCGAAGCCCCCGCGCAAAAGCCCGCAGAGAACCCAGCGACCGGTATCGGGTTGAAGCGCCCTCTGGAACTCGGTCCGGATGGGTTTCCGGTTCTCAAGAAGCGAAAGCAGGTTGCGAAGAAACCAGAGATAACCATCACGATGCCGGAAGTGCCGTGGGAAGGATTTGGCTCAGATGAGGATCAAGACGAAGACAAGGAGTCTGAAGAGGGCGAAGATGAAGATTCAGAGGGAACATCGTCAGATGGCTCAAGTGACGAAAGCGGCAGTGAGGGTGAGGGCGATGAGGACGAAGATGAGGATGATAGCGAGGAAGAGAGTGAGGAAGATGACGACGAAGAAGGCGAAGAGGAAGAGAAGCATAAAGTGGGCCAACCTCGACAATCCGCCTTCAAATCTTGGGCCAGACAGCAGATCAATGATGCCATCGGTTTCAAGCCTACCACTGTTCCAGTCGTCGAGGAGCAGGCGTTCATTCCAGAACGCAAGAAGCCAGTCAGGAACACTGTTGCCGAGGAGGAACCATTGCCCTTGGAACTTCAGGTCACCACGGGGGACCCCAACCGGAAAGCCTTTAGTGTCCAGGTTAACCGGTCAGAGGAAATACAAAATGCACGCTTGGGACTGCCGGTTGTTGGCGAGGAACAGAAGATCATGGAAGCAATCTACAATAACTCCTCGATCGTGATATGGGGTGCTACTGGTTCCGGAAAGACAACCCAGCTTCCCCAATTCCTCTTCGAAGCCGGCTACGGCAACCCCAACAGCCCCAATCCAGGCATGATCGGAGTAACTCAACCACGCCGAGTCGCAGCAGTCAGTATGGCGAAGCGTGTAGGCGAAGAGCTGGGCGAATTCTCCGATCAAGTCTCCTACCAGATTCGCTTTGAGAGTACGGCATCCAGCAAGACCGCAATCAAGTTCATGACCGACGGTATCCTCATCCGCGAAATTGCCGAAGACTTTTCCCTTAGCAAGTATTCGGTCATTGTGATTGATGAAGCCCACGAACGGAGCGTCAACACCGATATTCTCATTGGAATGGTCAGCCGCATTGTCGACTTGCGGAAGGCTATGCAGGAAGAAGACCCGTCCGTCAAGCCTCTGAAGCTCGTGGTCATGTCTGCCACCCTGCGCATCTCCGATTTTACACAAAACCCGAACCTCTTCCGTCAAGGACCGCCGCCTTTGGTTCAAGCACAAGGTCGCCAGTATCCTGTCACCATCCACTTCTCCCGACGTACCAACCGCGATTATATCGAAGAGGCATTCCGCAAGGTGTCGAGAGGTCACCGCAAGCTGCCTCCGGGCGGGATGCTTGTGTTCATGACCGGACAGAACGAAATCCGTCAGCTGTCCAAGCGTTTAAAGCAGGCCTTCAAACCCACCCAGCGCGGCGAAGCCACTCAAGCCAGGGTCCAGATCTCTGCCAACGATGCACCCCTGGAGGCGGAAGATTTCGAGATCGGCGGTACCGATCTGTCACTTGCTGGCAACCAGGAAGATGACGAGAGTGACTACGAAATCACTGGACTGGATGAACCCGAGGAAGATGAGGACGAGTTTGATCTGGGTGAAGAGGCCATGAGCTCGACGACGCGAGTTCATGTGCTCCCATTGTACTCTCAGCTTCCTACCAAGGAACAACTTAGGGTTTTCGAACCCCCGCCGGAAGGCTCCCGACTTATTGTCCTAGCCACCAACGTGGCTGAGACAAGTCTTACAATCCCCGGTATAAAGTACGTGTTTGACTGTGGTAGAGCAAAGGAAAAGCAGTACGATCTCGCAACAGGTGTTCAGAAGTTCCAAATTGAATGGATCAGCAAGGCCAGTGCCAACCAGCGAGCTGGACGTGCTGGTAGAACTGGACCTGGTCATTGCTACCGTCTGTACTCTTCGGCAATCTACGAGAACGAGTTCGCCGAATACACTGATCCGGAGATTCTGCGGACGCCGATCGAGGGTGTCGTACTTCAGATGAAGAGCATGGGACTCCACAATGTCATCAACTTCCCATTCCCTACACCTCCCAGCCGCGAGGGTCTAGCCAAGGCCGAAAAGCTACTCAAGAACCTGGGCGCACTCACATCCGAAGGGCAGATCACGCAAATAGGTAACCGCCTATCTACATACCCTCTGTCTCCCCGGTTCGGCAAGATGCTGTACGTCGGCCACCAGCATGGCTGTATGCCGTACGTCATCGCACTTGTTTCCGCCCTCGCAGTCGGCGATCTGTTTGTTCCGGAGAACCAGATCGATCCTACACCAGCGAAGGACGATAACGAGCGCAACGGTGTATACACGAACGCGGACCGTCTCGAAGACACCGCCCGGGAGCAGCGCCACAAGGACTACGCTCGGGTTCACCGTCTTTTCAGCAAGCACGATGACACATCCGACGCACTGAAGTACCTATCGGCAATTTGCGCCTACGGGTACGCCTCCGACGGCGATGCCTTCTGCGACAAGATGTTCCTGCGCGCAAAGGCCTTCAAGGAAGCCACGCAGCTCCGCCGCCAGCTGACAGACATCGTGCGCAGCAACAACCCGGGCTTGGTTCAGGCCTATCAGGCACGCTTGCCCGAACCGACCGAAAAGCAGGTCAAGGCCATAAAGCAGATCATCACGGCCGGGTTCATCGACAATGTTGCTCTCCGCGCGGACCTTGCGCCCGTCCCGCCTGAGATGCACCGTACCCCCAAGCGAGCCATCGATGTTCCCTACTTCACGCTGATGAGGTCTCGTGACGGACCCGGCTTGGAGCTGGACGAAAAGGTTGTCTATGTGCACCCGTCCTCTGTCATCGCGCAGCTCTCCGCTAAGGAGATGCCTCAGTACATTGTCTACTCGCATCTCCAGCAATCGTCGCCCTCCATTGTATCTGCAGACCAGACCCCGAAGATCCGGATGTATCCCCTCGCCACGCCCAGCGGACTGCAGCTATCCGCGCTGGCACACGGAACGCCGCTGATCGAGTACGGCAAGCCGATTGGCAAGACGGAGTTGATCGAGGGTATTCCTCAACGGCGATCATGCTGGGTGATCCCGTCGCTGGTAGGTGAGGCCGGCGGAGCGCGGTGGCCGCTACCAGCCAAGAAGGTCATCCAGAGGAAGGATGCGAAGGAGGGATGGGTGATAGAAAAATTTGTCGCATAATGTACATATATATATACCAGACGCTTACAATCTTACAAAAGTGATGATGATGCAATAACATGAATCTGCCGTAGCCATAACAATAATAAAACGTAACCAGCACCCATACCAACCACTAACACCATAAAACAACCAAGAAGAACAACTGGAATCATAATACCCACCCACACTGAAAGTAAAAAAAGAAAAAACCACTATTTATCCTCCTTAATCCCCAACGCCCTCCTCAACCTCTCACTCTCCTCAATCTTCGCCTCCGCCAACTCATGCACCTGATAACTCTTAAACTGGCGTCTCTCCTTAGGCGGCAAATCCCACGCCCTACGACCGCGTCTCCCTGCACCACCACCACCACCACCACCACCATTCCCTCCTCCATTCCCACGTTCCCTCTCCTTTTCCTCCTCCTCCATCTCCCTAACCAACTTCTTCCTCAACGCCTCACACCTCTCATCAATCTCCTCCTCCGTCAACACCTTCTCTTCATCACCCTCACTCTCATCCTCCTCACCCTCCTCCTTCTTCACCTCCTCCTCCTTCTTAGATCCCTTCTTCTTAGATCTCTCCTCCTCGATCCTCTCATTCTCCTCCTCCAATCTCTCCCTCTCCTCCATAACCTTCACTTCGATTGCGCGCCGCCGATCATGCTCCAGGATCTGCTTGTCGGGTTGTCGCTGCTTGAAGGGCTTGTCTAACGGGTGGTCCGAGGAGGAGTTCGCGCCGCTGATGGGTGGGTATGGCGCGCCGTATCCAGCGTTGCGCGGCTTCATGAAGGCGAAGTTGCGTTGCACGTAGCCGGAGGTGCCGCTGCCTCGGGGGGTGGAGAGGCCGACGTTGGAGGACATTTTGTTTATATGTTTGATGGTATTCTTTCCGTGGTTGACTGGTTCTGGGCCTTGTGGTTGTGAGGTGTTGTGTGGTGTAGTTTTGTGAGGGTTGATTTATGGGTGTGAAAGGTGGGTGAGTGGTGGTTGAGGAGGATGATAGATATTATTGCTGCTGGAGAGGCGAAGGTCTGGATCGGCGAGTCATGCGGCGATGGAGGGAGCTTAGTGTCACGTGATGATAAGGGACTGATAAAGCGGGAGTGGAGGGAGATCAAAGTTGGTTCGTTAGTTACGTTAAGATTGCTGCAGTTCCTTAGACTACAATACTCAATTGCGATAGTTGGATCAGCAACAGCAATGCTTTTCATTTTGATCGTCTGTATACCGAGACAGCAAGGCCTCTACATACTCTAGGCATCCCTTATATTCTCCCTATTTCCAGGTCTCCCATATGTCCATGTCCAAGGTCCCGTTTTGTAACCCGTCGAGGAAAATCAAGCGCGATGTCCCATGAACCCGTTATTCACCAATAAAGACGCCGGCCCCTCGTGTGTGTGTGGACAAAGAGAAACAGAAAACATTGATAAGCTATGGAGGCGTGTCCTCATTTTCATCACGTCGAACTTCAGAGTAACAGAAGAAGGGGAATACATCGACAAGCAATTAAATGGGTAGAGGGGTAGAAAAAAAAGTATCAAGAAGTGAAAGGAGGGCTGGAGGCGAAAAATGAAAGCAATGGAAAAATGGAAAAAAGACATCAGTTTCCGCCGTCACCCTCGTTGTAGCGCCATAAAGCCATGAAGCTGGGCATGAAGGTAATGAAGCTCCGCGCTTCTAAGCCTCTTTCACGCCCATAATATGTATATCCCCAAGTATTAGAAGCAAGTTGGGAGAATGTGCGTGACCAGTTATAAAGATATATTTCATAAGAAGTAAGAATAACGTTCGGAACGTAACAGGCCTAGGTGCTGCCAGTGACTTCGACAGAGTCGCTGGTGACCGGGTTGGCCGACTCGCATTCCGCCAAGGGCGTCACCGTGCTTTTCGCCGTATGCTTAGATTCCGAGGATCCATCAGCATTGCTCTGCGTGTCGGTGGGAGGCGGGGTCGGGGGAGCGGCGCCAACCACAGGAGCACGGCAGTTCTCGACCCCATTCACAGCCCTTTTGGAAGGCTGGGGCGAGGACTTGTGCGAGTTAGGAGGCGTCGTCGATGTGGCTGCGTGGGCCAGGGGAGCGCCGGCGGGTGGCATGACCCCCCCAATCAACTTTTCAATCGCCACGATCTGCTTGCCATAACTGAACTTCTTCAATTGATCAAGCATCGGCTGGATGCGTACGGCCAGACTGTACTTCTCTTCGGACGTGTCGTCCAGCTGCCCAAGGATCTTTTCTACAACGGAAGTTAGTAGTCATGATATGGGCGGCTTGGAATGCAACTTACGGATCACATAGTTGCCGTACTGATCACGCATGAGGCTGATCAAGGGGCTGTCACCGCGCTCGTTGACACTCGTCAGCGTACTAATCATCTGCCGACGTTGAGACTCCTCGCCGTATTCAATGCTCTTCTCGACCACATTGCTGGCGAACTTGTGCTTGGAGTAAGTCAAGAGTTGCGACATCACCACCACAATCATGCGAGAGCGGTCTTTATCTTCGCCATTCTCGATAACATGCTGGATGACATAGTTGCCAAACTGGTCCGTGATCAACTTTGACGTGCAGGCATGCAGTTCACCCAAGATAGACTCCCGGTCCACTTCCTGGCAGTGCTCCAGCATGCGCTGAATGACACGGCACCCGTATGGGTGTGTAGCCAATCGCTCAACTTGGCCCTTGAAGGCATTTATGATAAACTGGACATATTGAGACGGGACTCTCTCGATGGCCTTCTGAATGACATGATTGCCGTTCTGGTCCCGAACACAGCGAAGGACGTGGGTCTCCAGTTCTTTGACCATTGATGCTTGCTGATCGGTGAGGATGTGCTCCAATGCCTGTCGCAAATTAGGATCTCGTATTGGGAGCCGAGGAGAAGACACCTACCTTTTGCACCACGCGGCACCCGTACATTTGGGTAGACAGGGAGAGGATGTGTCCCTTCATCTGGTTTGCCAAAATCTTCTTCTGAGTCTGGTTTCCGTGTTCAAAAAGCTTCTGCACAACGTAGTTGCCGAACACATCCGTCATCAACTGCAAGCTGTTCGACTGGATCTCGCGGAACACCTGTTCCTTCTCATCGCTGTTGGCCGTCTCTAGCTTCTGTTGAATGAAGCGCGAGCCGTGCTGGTCGCCACTGAATTCTACGATATGGCCATAGATATCCTGGCTCGAAATTAGCAACATACTCTCCCGAGACCCGAACTGACCATTACTCACCTTCAGCTCGTAGCGCTTGTTCCCCTTATTTTGAGCCCTGAACTCCTCTAGCACTGGACTCCGGACCACTTGTGAAGGATCATGGTCACGATGACCCCGAGAGACAAGGGCTGCTGCGCCAATTTGGGCGACAGGATGGTAAAACGAGAGGGCGTTGAGTCTCTGTGCTTGGTAACCGGCAAGATCATAAGCAGGAGGAATTTGGACCCTGTGCAGTGGATTGACTGCCTGCTGCGAAAGCTCCTGCTCGGCTCGTAGCTTCTGCTCCAGCAGGGCAGCTGCATTCCCCGTCACTTGACCTGCGGAACCGGTCCGGAAGTGTGCGCCATTATCCTGGGCATAGAAGGGGCTGTCAATGCGATACTCAGTAGGAGATATCGGGTTGGTGTCCTGGACACGAGATCTACTCGGCTGGTATCCCAATGGTAGCTCTGTCGGGACACCTTCGTTACCATAACCGGGCGGAAGTTGGTACTCGCTCTCGTCACCACCGTTCGGATATTTCAAGCGCGTCAGACTGGCATCATACGATTTGTGTGGTAAGTAGGCTGGACGATTAAGGCCCGGATGTCCCGAGAAATTGCCCTCGTTCAGCTGCAGCTTGTTGAAACCAGAGCTAAGATCGACGGAGCCACTACCAGACCGTCCCTCGTAGCCCTGGCTCTCGGAGTGGAATGACGGGTAGGTGGAGTGAGATGGTCGTTGAGGTGCGAAGGAAGCCGAGTTATGCGCAGTATGGGAGTATGAGTTGCGGCCCATGTGCTGCGTCATGTAATCTGGTAGAGCAGACTGCAGGGTTGACATGCCCATCGACGTGGTCACATCATCGGATCTTTGATTGTCTAGTGGGCTTGTGAACCCTGCCTTGATCGGAAACCCAGATCCCACAGGGCTACCGCCAAAGGCAGAAGTGTTCACCTGCCGCCTGCCATCACCGTTTCTCATTCCGAAATTGCCAAGGCTCATGCCCTCGCCTGACGGTGAGATGCCGTCGGACCCGGTGCTCAGGTAAGCTTTATGCCCAGGACCGCCACTTGATCCAATCCCCGACTTGGGCAGGGCAAAATATGAAGAAGAGTCGGTACTATCAGGAATACCACCCGCGCTGCGCTCATTGGCGCGTGTTTGTACGGGAGATGTAGTCATGCCGCTATTCGGAGCTCGCGATAAGGTGGCGGCCGATGTGTTGATCGTAGTCCATGGCAGGTTAGGACGGCTATTCCATCCATCCGATTCGGAAGAAGAGAGCAAAGAACTTGACCCAGCCTTGCCCTCGAAAGCATTCTCCACAGTGTGCTGGTCTGTAAGCTCCATGTCAGCGGCAATATCCCAAGTAGACAGCTGTCCAAGGAGCTGCGTACCATCCAAACCGCTTGCCCATATACTGCCATTCCAGTTTCCGTTTCCACCACCGAAGCCTGTCCCCATACTCGAGGGAGCTCCTCGCGTCCTCTCACCATTAAACCCCGATGAAGTCATATTCCCCGACCGACTTGAACGAACCTGTGTAGCAGTCAACGAGCTAGTCCACTTGCCACTTGTCCGGACACCACGTACATTATGAACTGAATTCTGGTTGGAAGCCATTATGAATCCTCCCCGTAGATATCAACCACACCGTAAATGTTCACCGTATGAATAGTCGTTCGAAGCCGACTGTAAGGGTGTTGTATGACGTCGTTATCCCTGCACTATCGTTCCTGATACACTAGATGACAATGAGGCTGAAGTGATACGGATAATTATACGACCCGTAATGGGTGGATCGAGGCACGAGGTGACTGGTGAATACCGAACTGCACGAGTCAGCCATCCGATCAGAAACTGGAGATCAAAGCACTTGTAGCCAGTTCCGAACTGTTAGATGAGGTGTAAACTTACAAAGGAGCGAAGAATCAGGACACCAAAGGAAAGGGATGGAGGAGAGATAGGGCGGCAGCGAAGACGTTGCCGAAGAATAGGATTTGGATCGGGTCCAGAATAGACGCGGTCAGGCGCTGTACAAATTATACAGGGATCGAAGGGGGGGGCACGAAAGGGAGAAGTAGCGTGGCAGGCGAGAAATGCTAGGCGGAGGAAGCAGGGAGGGAGGCCGTCAACAACGCAAGGTGACAAGAGCTTGATAAAAAGCGGTTTGCTTTGTCCACCCACGGCCCAGTAAGTACCCGTAGATCGAAATCGCCAGAAAGTATTGCGACGTTACTATGCTCCGTGCATGCTCCAGGAAGTTCGAATCTTGCAGATCGCCCTCATGTGCCCTTTGAAGGCAAAGGGAGGGATGGCCGACACGGGGGGGTTTTCGTTTAATCAGACAGAGACGTTAGGAGCTCGGACGAATCGCAGCGGCAAGGGGGGAGGGACAAAGGGTTAGAAAGAGGGTGCAGTTGGTATGGGCGGAGAATGTGCTTGTTGCGCAAAAAAAGACGTGATTAGTGGAGGGTCGAAGGATGGAGAATGTGGACGAGAGACAAGGCCCAGCATTAATATAATTCAGCTGTGACACAGACAAGCGCAAGCATGACACCCGAAGTGGTTCCGAGTAGGTCAGTCAGGCCTTTTTATCCTTTTGTCGCAGGTTCGGTTCGGCCTCCACCACTGGGCGCTGGATGGCGAAAGTTTGGAAGGGTGGAGGGGAGGGAGGGAATAACGACGATAAATGACCGAAGAGTAGAGATAATATGATGACAGAGTGAGAGGGAAGAAAACGATCAAATGATGAAATGAGGAGGTTAAAAAAGGAAAATATAAAAAAAAATATAAAAGAGGAAAAAGTTTAAAAAGGTTTGTTGAGAGTGACGGTCGAAATAAAGCAGGGAAATGGGAGGAAAAAGGTTATTTTATCAAATTAAGGAAAACGGGAAAGGAAAAAAAAAAAAGGGTCTGGTCAATGTGAGAGAAAAGACCAAGATTGGTAGCACAAAAAAGAAGCACCCCAAAAGGTCCCCCAGATTTGCGAAGAATGACAAGGGAGAGATGAGGAGAGGGGAGGTAAAAAAAAGAGGAAATGATGAGGGAAAGAAGAAAAGGAAAAAGAAAAAGGCGAGAGAAAATGCAGATGAAGGAACAGGGGGAAAACCTGCAGGCTTCAAGGACAGTGAGAAGAAGGGAAAAAAGAAATCACCAACGGACCTCTTTTCTGGCAGGGCGCAGGATTGATTCGAGGATGAGGATTGGAGATGATAGATAAGCTGGGCAGGTCAAGCTGGAAAAAAGATGCTGCGTGTCTTGCGGCAAACGACCGATTCTTTTGGCGCCCATCGGCCCATCGGTAATCTTACCGGCGATGACAATACCAGACGATCTGTCGATCCCATCAGGTACTTGGCAGGCGTACGGCCATCGCCGCTGCTGGGCAGGTACCGGGCGTATCGCTCTGCCCACCAGGCCCCGTCTGATACACGACTGGATCTGGGGCCACCCAAATTCGTTCCCGCCGCTTCTTTTTTAGGCTTCAATCTAGGCGGCCCCTCCCTTTTCC